AGTGGTTCACAAGAAAGAATTTTTGAATTAGATAGTTTTACAGGTAGTTATCATATATTAAAAAAAGGGAATTATCATATATTTAGACTATGTGAGAGATTACTATCTAATAGGTTATCTTAGTATATATAATAGATAAGTGAAGTGGACCGATGTTAGATTAAATTTGAAGAAAGTAGCTTCTGAAGGTAACTTTTAAGAATTTAAAAGTTTGTCAATTATGATACTTTTAATGAGATTAATTTGCTAACAGCTGATTATATAATACGAAAACAAATTGTGTATATGAATCAACTAAATGAGGGTTGCTCAAAAAACAAATTGCAAAGGGGTTTCAATTACTCTCTTTTAAATTGGTGATGATAATATTTTAAGTGGTAAGTGACTCTGCAAAAAAAATATATAAAGTAACTTCAAAAATAATTTTCAGGTAAGCTTGAAATTAAATTTGTTCAATCCATGTGAGAAAAGGGTATATTGTAGTGCTAAGGTAAGATGTGAAATTGGTGGCCCAGTAGCATCATTAAAAAAAACTTCATCTAGTATTCAATTGAATCGTTGAATACTGAAATGACAACCAAATTCTGAAGGGGCTGCAGACTCGGACGAATGAGGGTGTTTTATTTCGGTGTCAGACGAGGATGACAATATGTGGTAATGGGTAACAAAAGAAAAAAAAACAATATGTTTCCTCTTTACAAAAAGGGGGTTAAGAAATAAAGTTTGTAAACGGTTATCTTATTTAAGATAAATTGTTACTTTCATAAAAATAATTATTTTAAGATTGGATGTTGATCCTTTAAATAAGCGGCGTAGTGATTAAGTCACTTAAACATTTTGACTAGGGAACTTTTGATAAATGATTAAAACGATCATCTTGCACATGCAAAAAAAAAAAAGAAAATACATAATGTCGTGTCCAAAAAAAAGTGAAACGTAATGCCGGAAAGTATACCCTACGATTTAGTTTTAATTATGTAACAAATCATAATTTTAATTATGTAACAAAAAAACAACAAAAAAAGTCAGTGCTAAAATTAATTGATTTTCAAAGTTAAATTTGGTGGGAAAAAAATTCATATTCAAATTGAAAGTCCTGAAAAGACGAGTTCGTTGGCGTATTCCGCGTGCGAATCTAAGTTATTGAAGTTAGGGAATTGCCCGTCCCAAGATCGGGAAGATTTGAAAGTGAACGAGTAAAATACAAGGGTGACGTGGAAATTATGTTTACTCACGAATCCTGAATCGTGGGGGTAGGTCTCGCAAAAAGGGGTGACCCGTTACACATAGTTGGTCGAATTTGGAATTATGTTTATGTTTAAAAAGTTGTCATAAAAAAATGTTACAGTTCAGGAATTTTATAATAGAACCTTTAATAACAAAATAAGAAATTTCCACCCCTAAATGTGAAACCATCACGGAGTGATACTTTCCAAATCAAAGGCCTATTTACCAGATTTCCAC